ACCCTAAACCTCTTATAGCGTAGAACTTCAACCCCGGAAACTGCAAACCACAGACTGAATCAATACACAGGCCGAAGCAAGTGATATTTGGACCTAGTGCGCAGTACCTTTGAGATGCGTCAAACCTGTCTGCAGCGAGTAGGCGTAGATGCGAGTAGCATGTTGGGGGTTTAGGGTTTAGGGTTTAGTTGCATGTTGGTTCAGGTAACCCTAAGGGTCCAAGTACCTAATAATCAGATACTCTCCCAAATATTAACCTAAAGAACTACTATCCGCAACCAAAGTACCCTATTATTGGGTCCTTTGGACCCTTAGGGTAATGTTGGTGTGGTTCTCTCCGCCTCACGGTTTTCAGTGTGCTCAATTTACTCCCGAAGCCTTTCTTCAGAGTTGCATCGGAGATTGAGAGATTGAAGCCGGGTTTCATGCATGGCTCCACCCTAGACCCTAAGCCCGAAACCCCAAACGATAGTCATAAACCCTAAAGCCGATACCCTAAACCTAAACCTTAAGCTTAAACCCTAAACCCTAACGCTGAACCCTGAGCTCCCAGCCCAGGGTTGGCCCGTCTGTGAAGTGGAGGATGCTGCTTGGGCATGCATTGCTTATGGTATTTTGGGTATGTGAGTTTAGGGTTCGGGGGTTTAGGGTTTAGGGTTTGGGGTTTACGGTTTAGGGTTCAGGAGTTTAGGGTTTGGGGCATGGACTTTACGAAAGAGGGTTTAGGATTTAGGGTTTAGGGTTCAGGGTTTAGAGTTTAGGCGCCAGCATGGCAGCACAGGTGGTGCGCATGCAGCCCGATTTGGCATCCTTGCCAGACTGGAAGGCTGGCGTAAGCAGGGTAGTCTTGCAAACATCCCCCCGAAGCTTGTAGGACTCAACGTGTAGGTTAACTTAATCGCAGACCAGAACACTTCGGGGGGAGGTACAGATCCGTGTTCCTATCTTCTCCTGTTGGCTATTGGATATAACCGGGTAAGCCAAGCCTAAACCCTAAACCCTAAACCCTAAACCCTAAACCAAGGGGGCGCAATTCTATCAAGCAGGAGTTGCTTAGGCCCCAGAGTCTCCCCAGATTCTTCTACAAGACTGAATCTTAGTAGCTGAGTAGATCGCCTTTAACCTTTTGGGGCTTATACCCTAAACCCTAAACCCTTTATATGATCCTACTATAATCGAAAAGGTTAGTTTTTTTGGGGGGTAGGGTACTCAGCCCCTAGGGAATCAGACTGAAGCTTGGGGCCAAGTTAGGGATTACCTCCAGGAGTGGCCTGAGGAATGGGAGCCTAAAACCTATATTCTATAATCCCTAAACCCCTAAACCCTAAACCCTAAACCCTATAGGGTTTAGGGTTTAGTGTTTCCATCTCTCTTGCTCGCTCTTTTATTGCTCTCTCTCTCTCTCTCTCTTTCTCTCCCTCTTTTCCCGTTTGGGTAGTAGGACTTGCGACTTCCGGGGCTTAGCTTGGTGGCTTTTCCGAGCTCTCCTACAGCATAGTCTAGTGTTTCGGGTTTGGGGTAGGGCTGGTGTGACTTGTGGGGACTGCAGACGGCACAACCCACAGGAATTGTGTGAGGCCTGCACAATGCACCGTTTGTGGTTCAGGGCTTTTAGGGTTTAGGACTTAGGGTTCAGGGCTTTTAGGGTATGGGGTTTAGGGTTTAGGGCTTTTAGGGTTTAGGACTTAGGGTTCAGGGCTTTTAGGGTATGGGGTTTAGGGTTTAGGGCTTTTAGGGTCTAGGACTTAGGGTTCAGGGCTTTTAGGGTATGGGGTTTAGGGTTTAGGGCTTTTAGGGTTTAGGGCTTAGCGTTTAGCGGGTTACACAGAAGCACCGAGGAATGCATCATTTCACGCCTGGAGTCCTGGAACATCCCGGAATCAAATATGTATAGTAACATAGTCTTCGCCAGCGCCCTTTTTTGGGGGGACGGATTCTTGTAATGTTAGCGGGAATGGGCTATTACTGTTCACAGCTGGGTTTCTACTCCTGTTGCTGCTGCACGTGTCGCCACTTTTTCGGTAATCGTTGTCAAGTTTGGTGTTACTGTGCCCTCTGCTGCTTTGTTTGTTTGTTTTTTGTGTTTTATTTGCCCCTCACCTCCCGGCACCTTGGTCACGAACCCCCAGCCGCGACACAAACACAAATGCTGCAAGGCATAAGCCAACAAGCCCCAAGACATAGCTAGTCTTACATTCAAGGCATCTCAACCATGACTCCTGAACCCTCCACCCTGATTTCCCAGGAATCTCGAGCCAACATTAAATGTTAAAACACCCTAAACCCGAAACCCTAAACCCTAAATCCTAAACCCTAAATCCTAAACCCTAAAACCCAAAACCCTAAACCCTAAAACCATCTAAAACCCTAAACCCTTAAACCCTAATCAGAAATCCCTGGAAGCTTCCCAGATCCATGCCGAAGCCTGAACTTCCTATACTGATGGGACTTAGTAACTAGGGTTTAGGGTTTAACCCCAATTAAGGTACTTATAACCTTACTTACTAAGTCCCATGATCCTCCAAGTACCTTGCCTCACCCCAGAGGTCCTAAAGCCAGAAAGTCTAAGCTCCATACCACCACATCACAGGGGTCGAACAAAAAGCCTCTACTAAATCTAAATCCAACCAAGCTACCCAATGCATGCTTTGACAGCACCTCTATGCATACCATATATGGGACCCTTGTAAAACACAACGGCTTCGTTGTTTTTGGACCCCTAAGGGTTGCAAATAGGCCCCTAAACCCCAAACCCTCCCGCTGTACATTTACAAACAAACCCCGGGCTCTCCCCAGTTTAGGGTTTAGGGTTTAGGGTTTAGGGTTTAGGCCAGCTCAGAGCTCAGACAACTCAGTAAGTAGGACAAATCTGGGGATATAAGTCCCCTAGTTGAACCAATCGAACCATGCTTGTAACCTTACCCTAAGGCTCCAAAGGACCCAACAATTAGGTACTCGGTTTTAGGATAATCGTTATGCAGGTTAGGGTTTTGGAGAGTGTATGATTACTAGGTACTTGGAACCTTGGGGTTGCTTACTAATTAGTTTGGCCTATAAGCAGGCCTGGGAAACCTACATTTCCTGGCACAGACGCTTGGCCCGAGGGCTGCGTTTCGGGGGACCTGGTTTTGGAGTTCCTTCGTAGTGGTTTCACTTGTTCGTTTGGTCTTATAGTTTTGTCAGTAAGAGAGGTGTTAGGTTTTCTGAAGTTCGGTGTGCCTGTTTTCAATTTTCAACTGAACAAGGCCATCTAATTAATATCAAAGCGAACTTGAGATTTGGGGGTTTGGGGAGTGGAAAAGATCCTCCTCGAAGTGATCCCGACTTAGACCAGTGGACACTTGCACGCGAAAACTTCCCGCAATCTGCGGACCTGGCCTGTGGGCGTGAGGCTCGGAGTTCGGGGGTTCATGGTTAAGGGCTGCGAGGTCTCAAACGGTTTGGATTTACGCTAAGGGGTTTAGTGTTGGAGTTGCATAGATTCACTAAACCCTAAACCCTTAACTCTAAACCCTAAACCCTAAACCCTAAACCTTCACCTTTTCGGGAGCAGAGACTGGTGGCTGTTGCTCTGCCCTACACCCTGTCTTACTTTGCAGGAAGCGACTGAAGACGGAGGGGGGCCCTCAATCCCAAATCCTATACCTCAGACCCTTAAACTTAAACGAGTATTTTTGGTTGCGGTGGGGGTGTGGGCTTCCTTTTCTAGGTCGGTCGTCGGAACGAACCATTGTCTTCTGGTGCTTGTATGTCCGTGCGTGCCTTGTTATCATCAATTCTGTGTTCCTGGAGGGCTGTTAGGTCATTTGTCATAGACAGCGTAAACTTGGCGTAAGCCCTAAACTCGACAGAAAGGCCTGAGTGTATGGGCTTATGCATATCTGTCATAAGCCATGGTCGCATTCAATATTTGATTTTTATGCTGGGTCTAGTGGTCTTTTGTGAGAAAGCATCCCGATTGTAAAGCAGCGTGACTGAACGGTTTCAGGATGTTGGATCTCAGACCGAGCTTCTTGGCCGACAGATACTGTAGCAGTTGCGTTCACATATGGGAGTTTCCGAAAATAGGGGACCCTAATATAGCACCCTAAATAGTAGGACCCTTATTATAAGGACCCCCAAATAAGGTACCCTAATTTCTGGAAACTCCCATATTGACAGACTTGTTGTTTCGGGGCACCCAAATCCAAAGCCCAAAGCCTCAGAATTGCAATCGTGCAGTCGACATGTGATTTGCGGGGATCAGGATTTACGGTTTGGTCTAAGCCCTTTCAGGGCTACGGGCTCGTTTTCTAAAGACAGGACGCGAAATGATTGCCGTTTAGCTACACGAGAAGAAGGTCCATGTTCACACCAATCATAGAATCGTTCCAGGTACCATGCAGCTCAGAGCTACCACAGAGGTTGCAATCGGTTATATGGGAGGTGCCAAGGTGCCGCACCCTAAACCCTAAACCCAGTGCCCTGTTCATTGTGGGGCACCCTTGTTCAAAATCGGATGGTAGGAAAGGGGCGCCTTAATCAGGAGATTTAGTGAACGGTTTAGGGTTTAGGGTTTAGGGTTTCGGGAATCCAAGTTGCGGTAACCACACGTGCCACAAGTGTAATAACCTGATGTATCTCGTGCGAGGCGAGCAACTACGTCGACTTCTACAACCGTCACCTCAAGCTGGGCGAGGCTGGTGCTGTAGACTTCGAAACGAGGTCCCAAACCCTGTGCAGAGAAGCTCTAAACCCTAAACCCTAAACCCTATAGCCTCTAAACCCTAAACCCTAAACCCTAAACCCTAAACCTCTGAATCAGAGTGCCCCGGAGCCCCAAGCCTTGCTACATTGCGTAGATTTCCGCCACGGCGCGGCAAATAGAGTGGGATCACGTAGGCAAGCCTAAGATACATTGTTCAGGCCTTCTTAATCTCCGTCAGATCTTTTTAGGCCAAGTCAGCCCTGTCCCTAGTAGAGTCCACAAGCACTCTGCCTCCGAAGACTGTATGGCGAGGTCGCTGCCTGTTTGAGCCACTTCCGACTCTGGCAGAAAGCCCTGCGATGTGACCTCGACGTGCCTCGGTAAGCCTGCGAGAGACAGTTACCCAGAGACTCCAAAACCATCAAAAACAAACCCTTCATGAATTGATGCAGGAGCCTAACCCTATAGCAAGCTCCTTATAGTACTCCATCAAGTAATTTCAGTAGCCCCTGATAGTAGCCCTTTTATTATCAAGGTGTAGTCTCCCTAGCACATCCCAAGCACAGTCTGAAGGAGAACCTGAGCGTCCTCAGTCGGAGGACTGTCGTATGCATGGCACATACATACAAATTTCTACACGGCAGTATCTGTAGTAACCCGAAATTTATAAACCCTTCAAATCCTTATAAGACCCTAAACCCTAAACCCTATAATCTAAACACTTGCAGATGTGAGGTTTGCATCGTTTTCGAGGATGATGCGAGGCAGCTCGGTGTTTATTAACGGTAGATATCTTTCGGCCTGGACTTCTTAGGGCCCGCCCCGTGCACCGTGATAGCGAAGTGCTGGCCGCAGCTCATAGGGCTTAGGGTTTAGGTTTTAGGGGTTTAGGGTTTAGGGTTTAGGCGTTTTAGTCCCAATCTTCGAAGCTCAATTACCCTGCACCGGATTTGGTGGTTTGTCGGTGTTGCAGTAGCTTCACGCGCTCTCACAAGAGTGACGCTTTAGACACTGCAGTTTGGAGCGACGCTTGACCTTACGACTTAAAGGGGCTTGGTCTGTTGGGTATCACGGTTGATGATACAGGGCTTTAGGTTGATCGGAAGATTCCGATGCAGTCAATCATATCTACCCTAAACCCTTATGAACCCCAAATCCTATCGAATAACCCCAAACATTCCCTGGTATCGAACTGGACGCTGGATGCTTACTGCACTGGACGTATCCAGTGGGGGGTCAAGCCAGGGTTGTGGAGGGCGCTCGGTTTAGGGTTCAGGGTTTAGGGCTGCTCATGTCAATCCTCAACCCCACCTCAACAGAATCTTCTCTTTTGGCCGGCAGCAACCGCAACCCCGGAGCGTCCATGTGTCCATATTGTGTGCACTTAGGCCTCAACATAGTCGCTACATTTGTACTTTAGGCGACCAAAGTGTGTATAGAGGTGTATATATATATATACAGATATGGATATATATATATATATATATATACGCATAAACAAATAAATAAATAAATATATATACACTATATGGATACAAGGGCCCAAGTCACCACACGTCCTAAACAACAGCTCGAGCCTGGCAAACAAATTACCTTCGATCGGAAGAGCCTCCCTAGGCCTACCCCTAAACCCTAAACCCTAAACCCTAAACCCTAAACCCTAAACCCCTAAACCCTAAACCCTAAACCCTAAAGCCTCCCTAGGCCAACTGCAGACGGGCTCCGGCGCTTCCAAGCAGAGGTGGGGCGCCTCCATACTTTTTTTAGTGTGGCTGCTTAAGGGCTCCAGGGGTTGCAAGTAGGGTTATATATAAGTTAGCCTGAGTAGAGTTGTCCGAATGATAGTCTTTCTTACAACCTTATTACTAAGTCCTATATGAGAGAGGTTTTGGGTGGGTCTGGTGTTGTTGTAGAGGGTTTGGCTTGGGCATGCGTTTCGGGCTTGATGGATGGGGTAGCAATTTGTTGTTCTTGTTTGATTTTTCTGAGGTCGATCTTTGAGCGTAATGCTTCAGGCTGAAGCCTAGAGTCAATGCCCTCAGCGCTGACCAACCTGGCTGGGGAGGTTGGTCCCCTCCTGCACGCTGTAGCATGGCTTAGCCATGAGGGTTCTTATAAGGGTTCAACAAAGGGCTGTAGGGTTTGGGGTTTATAAGGGCTCTTGTATCTGCAAGGTATATATATATATATATATATTTAGGCCTTAAGGGGGTTTCAATGCAATATAGGTCCCAGAGTGATGCTAGAACTATATATATATATATATATATGTATATACTTAGGTCTTAAAGGGTTTCTATATAGGTCCCAGAGTGATGCTTGAACTTCAGCTTGTCCCAGGTCGACTGCCTGACAAGCCTGGGCGTGCCCTGGGAGCCTCAGATAGCTTTCATACACAAGCCTGAATACTTGGTTTAGGGTTTAGGGTTTAGGGTTTAGGGTTTAGGGGGTTTCCGACAGTTAGGGGTACCTTATTTTGGTGTCCTTATAATAAGGGTCCTACTGGTTAGGGTACTGTATTAGGGTCCCCTATTTTCGGAATACTTACCAATATGATTCCTCGGGGCTCCTGATTGTAATTGCATGTTTCTTAATCTTAAAGCCCCTACATACATTTGATTGCTGGCATTGGTGCATTGTATGCGTACATTAGTTTCGGTTGTTGCAGAGTTGATTCATAGCCTGCTGGCTGCTGGATTGTGGGGTTAAGATGGGTGCTGTTTCGCCTTTGTTCGCATTGCTTTGAGGACTGAATTTGGGTTTCGGTTTCCTGATAGGTGTTTCGGACTTTCCTGCTTGTGTTCCTGCTCCTAAGCACCCGACAGCGCGACCACATACTAAGAAGCCGGACATCTTAAACCGAATATATCTGAACCCAAACCCACACCCTACAGTGAACCCCAGAAAGTTGGAACATGGATTTAGGATGATTCATGCTGGGATTCGCTATAGTTTACCCCTGAAGGCACGAGGATGATGATGTTCCAACTTTTCGGCTTCTACTATAATTAAGCTGAGTACTAAACTCTGATGAAACCGCTTCGCCCGGAACAAACACCCCAGAAAGTCTCCATCCCCAAAAAGCTGCCGAATAGAATTGTGTTGCATTCTGACATAAGGTCCAGTGGGGTTTAGTGCCGCTCGGTCTTGGCCTTATGTCAGCTCTCAACCCTCCAACCCTCAGACGAGAGACTCCAAAGCGATTTCTTGAATGCATTCAGATTAGTTGCATAGAGAAAGACTTGTTCCGAGTCACGTGTTCGTTGAAGCACGCCATCGTGGATGTTGTAAGAAGGCTCAAAAGCAAAGCAAGAATGATAGTAGTAGTGATCCCAACAAAATGTGTCTATCCTCATCCTCATTGCCCACATCGGACGGGAAGTTGTAAGATCCGCAGCCCAGTGGAACCCTCAGGATCTGGTCTACTTGCATTCTTCGCTCTACTCCAAGTCAGAGGACTCGAAGCTGGTGGCCACACTCGTAGGCAAAGAGAAGCAGAGAAAAGAGAGACAGAGAGAGAGAGAGAGCAAACAACACAACAATATCTCGTTTGGATTTATACCTGTGTAAATATGTACACATGTATATAACACACACACACACATAAGGTGGGGTGTTAGGTCTTGCTTGGCATTTCAGCAGAAGTTATGTATGTATTCAAGACCCGAGGTCTCTATCAGCAGCGACTCATATGTCAGGAATGCACGCAACCGTTGGTATGTGGAGCCTTTCCAACATGTAAGTGCCTTGCACAAGTGTGTGTCGGCATAGATGCAAGACGTGTTCAAGAGGGCAACATAGACCCTAGAGCCAAGGGTGTAGACTCACATATATGTATGTATGTATGTATGTATGTATGTATGCATGTATGCATGTATGTATGTATGTATGTATGTATGTACGTATGTCTGTATGTATGTATGTATGTATGTATGTATGTATGCATGTATATATGTACGTA